GTCGTCCGTGTCAATGTTTTACTTTTTCAACTTCTTCTTGAAAACTACGAGCCTGAATGCTTTGATACTTGGTGTATATGTACCTTGGGTAGACCTCTCTCAGATTTGTTCATTTGATGATCATATCTTCAATTCTCTAATTTTGGTGAATATTTTTGTCAATTTTGGTAAAAAGTGATATTTTCGACTTCTTGTTAAAAACCGCAAGTCCAATTGCTTTGATATTACATATATAGGTACTACATGTGGACCTTTCTCAGATTTGTTCATTTTGTAATGAATATTTTTGTCATTTTTTGGTAAAAAGTGATATTTTCAACTTCTTGTTAAAAACCGCAAGTCCAATTGCTCTGATATTACATATATAGGTACTACATGTGGACCTCTCTAAGATTTGTTCATTTTGTAATGATATCTGTAATTCTCTGATTTTGGTAAATATTTTTGTCATTTTTAGTAAAAAGTGATATTTTTGACTTCTTGTTAAAAACCACAAGTCCAATTGCTTTGATATTACATATATAGGTACTACATGTGGACCACTATCAAATTTGTTTATTTCATGATGATATCTTCAATTCTCTAATTTTGATGAATATTTTTGGTGAAAAATGATATTTTTTAATTCTTGTTGAAAACAGCAAGTCCCATAGCATTGATACTATGCATATTGTTCATTTTCTAATGATATCTTCTGTTCTATAATTGAAATGTGCATTGCTAACAGCGTAGCTATCTCAGCCGACAGGCTGCTTGTATTTATTATATCACATGTTATACGCATAATTGTGTTACGTTACATTATATTACATTACATTATTTTTATGTTAATTATATCACATGTTATACGCATAATTGTTTACATAGACATTATGTTACATTACATTATTTTTATGTTAATTATATCACATGTTATACGCATAATTGTGTTACTCAATATGAAAATATATTCAGTGGAAAATTCAATTCAAACTTGAGAAATCATGGGTACTATGTAATGCAATGTTTCTGTTGGAATAAACATTGAGCTTCTATTGTGTTTTTCAGAATATGACAGGACAACTCAGGTTACTACACATAGCTTGTGCTGCAAAAGCAAAGCAGAGAAATATAACATTGGTGAGTCGATTTAAACTTTTCACCACCAGACTTTTCCCAAATGTTTCTGCACGTTTTTTTTTACAATCTTCAATATTTCTGGAAATAAACTCTAATTTTAAATAATCAACAATTTTAGTCAATTTTAAGTTTTTACTCAAAAAATTGCACTATTTTTGTTCCAATCGTCTGAAAAAAAGTGCCGACTATATACAGGACTATTTTGTGAATTTGGAATGAAAATAGGAAACTGGTGGGGAAAAGGTTAACTTGGAAAAGTACAAGTTGTTGGACTAGATCTGGGATCTCGCTTAGATGGTTTGCAAAGTAATGGCTAAATGACAAAGCTATTTTCCATGCTAGCTTATGACAATAGATCATATAACATAGTTTTTACAGAATCAAAAACAAATCTGCCAATCACAAACACACCTGCTTATGCTACCTGACAAAACTATCTGACAATGCACTGTAATTAAGAATTGCGAAATGATCTCAGGCTGACTTACTTACTTGCAAAAAAGTACTTACCGCTACATATATGTATGGGTGAATAGACAGTCATTCACGGCACTGATATTGTTCGACCTGTGATCTCAGGCTGACTTACTTACTTGCAAAAAAGTACTTACCGCTACATATATGTATGGGTGAATAGACAGTCATTCACGGCACTGATATTGTTTGATCTGTGATCTCAGGCTGACTTACTTACTTGCAAAAAAATACTTACCGCTACATATATGTATGGGTGAATAGACAGTCATTCACGGCACTGATATTGTTCGACTGTGATCTCAGGCTGACTTACTTACTTGC